CTTCTGTGTTCTACGATCACGACGGAGAAAATTAAAGACTCGTGACCCAACTAGAGATACGGACTCATTTGGATTCTTCTTTATGTTACTAATTTTGGAAATATTCTAAGAAATAAATTTCTGGTCGAGGTATAGACAAGATTCTTCTTTAAAATTCGTTTATTTTATTTTATCTTGTCGTCGGTATAGAGCTAGAATCCTCAAGCATAATATAGTCCGTATTATTCCTTGTGTACAGGGAATAAATTCACAGAAATTCTACGGGGTCCTCACATTGGGATGGACCCCATGTGAATATTTTATTGCATAAAATAAATCACCCGCCCCATTATTGTGTGTAATTTGTAACCTATAAAAAAATTTCTGCACGTGTATAGACTGATTCATATAGTCCTTGCTATTTTTCCTAGTTAATCGCTAAGTTTAGCTTTGAAACTTCTGTCTGTTCAGCCTAAGTCAGGTGCATAAGTGATATTGCATGGTTCTCGAGCCTGGCACGTCCCAATGTTTCTGGTGTGTCAGGAAAATTACGAGGGTTGCATTTAAAATTCTGGTTCTGCGACTCGTACAGAACCAGTTGACAGAGTGAGGTGGAAAGAAAAAAAAAGAAACGAAAGGAGACCCGACATGAACGCACACCCCGGCCCAACCCATTGTATTTTCCCTATTCTCAGACGTCTACGAATTGAAGGCGATCGAAGGCGAATCAAGGTGAATCGAAGGCGATCGAAGCTCCCTCTCTTCTCTCTTCCCTCCGCTAACAGTGCTTCCTCTGTAAAAGATGATTTTGGGACTCTTCATTACAGCGAACTAAGCGTTCCGGTGAGACCAAGTTTCAATTTTTATGCATATTTTTTTCGAATTAACCGATTTTGGAAGCTATATTCGAAGAAAGAAAACTGAGAAAGGGGGTATGTTGTATGGCAGGCGGAGGATTTGGAGAATTTAGAGTGGTTATCTCATTCTCTGATTATTCTGTCACCGGGAAGTTGCCACCGAACCCGACGGAGAACCAGTCTGAACCAGAAATTTCAGTTCCCGAGAAGCCTTGTTTCACCACTCCGATTCAGACCAAGGCCAGAACGAAACGAAATCGGCAGGTAAATTAGCTGCTTCTGATATGTAGTTTACGTGGGTATGTCGAAACCACTTTACTTGTAGTTTACATGGGTATATCAAAATCGGCAGATAAAATTTGTGTATTTTTTGAATTTTCAGTAAGAACCGAAAATATGAGCTAAAGTTGACTTATATTATGAGTTTCTTTGTATCACAAGAACTTATCAGAATTTTGGGTTCTGAGACTCTGGGCACTGCAAGATTCTGAGATTCATTTCATGTGTCACTGAGTGAAATTCATTGTATCACATACATGCCTGAATGTATACTATAAGAAATGCATTACATCACTGCAAGAATGTGTCACTGAAATGTGTGTACTGCAGTTTGATGAAGCCTGAGTGAGATTCATTGTTTGACATACATGCCTGAATGTGTACTGCAAGAATGTGTCGCTCAAATGTGTACTGAATGTGTGTATTGCAGTTTATTGAAGCCACATTTCATGTGTCACTGAGTGTGTTTATTGCAGTTTACAATGACAGGACAAAATGATGGAGTCTGCCATGGATGTAGAAGACGTGGTCACATCTTTGCGGATTGCCAAAACAAGGTCCCGTGCCCATGGTGTAGAGATGCATATGTGGAGTGTTTTGTTGTGGTGAAGAACACTAAGAACAAAGGTAAATTGTTCAAGTGTTGTAGCAAAAATTGTGGATTTTGGGAGTGGGTGAAAGATGGTGAAACGTCCGGTGAATCAAGTTCTGTTGGCAACTCCTTCAATAATCATGTGGCGACCGAATTAGAGAACAACGTCTCTTGCATGTTCGAAACGATGTGCCGATTGACTCAAGAAAAAGACGTGGAGATAACCGTTACAATACGCAAAGGAAAGGCAAATGCGGAATGTGATGAGAAAGGAAAGGGGCCGGCATGATTTTCTCCGCTAGTTTGAAGTCTTTATGTATCTATGAAATGTTTCTTTGTTTGGAATTGTGAATGACTACATGTCAATGTATTGGCTAGTTACTAGGCTGGTAGGAATATCTCTTTTTTGGTGGAATGAATTCAAGTGAAATTGCTATCATTTCCAGCAGTTCGTTATTTAAAATCTCGTTCAGTTTCCTTTACTGTCATTTCCAGCAGTTCCTTTAACCTAATGGATATGAACTAGATATTATGTTGAAACTTGTACGAGCAAGTCAAATTGTCTCCAATTTGACATCTCCAATTTGACTGCTAATGCTAATATTAAAGAACTGGGAACCAATTGTCTTCATTCAACAAGAAGATGTATTGAAATCCATTAATTACTCCCTCAGAAGTATGGAGCAAAGTATCAGTTTCTTCTAATAAACAAATGCTCCAATCGCATGCTCGTTACATTGAATTGAACAGGAATTTACACTATTAAGATAAACGGCCCATTTGGGAGTTTGAATTTCTGCATAAACTTTCTAGACAGGAGAAGTCACAAGGCTTCAACAACTCCATTACTTTCAACCACCAATTGTCTCTCTCCTATTGGTGTCATTTTAATGCAACTTGCCAACTTGATGAATCGTGGTTCTCGACTAACATATTCAATAACAAAAGCAGAGCTTTCCAGTCAAGCAATTTCCAGCAATGAAAGCCTTGCCTTTGTGTGATTTATCAAAGCTAATGAGCATGCTTCCAGAGATTCTTCAGCCAACATCTTTAACTAATAACAGAAATTCTTCAGCCAGCATCAGAAGCCTACAACGGATGGCAACTCCAATTGTCACCTAAAATCCTTTGTGAGTCTTGCATTGATTGGAATTATTGATTCACCAGCATGCTTCAACGCTTGTCTTTGTTGCAACTCATCAAAGAATAAACTTTCCTCCTGCATAACAAAGGAAAGACAAATAATTAGATACTTCCTAAAATCCATAAACTAAATATCACTACTAAAAAACATGATAAGCTATATAAGAACTATCCTGTATGACACATGCTTCAACCCCTGCAAAAAAAAAAAAATTAACTTTAGGATCCCAGGAAGAGAACATGAAAACGGAAAAAGAGATTTTGCAAAAATCTTTAAGAAACTTCTCTGCCTTACTCAACCTGCGGCACAAATTAAAAGTTGAAAAATGAAATACAAGGGTATTTTTCCACAAATAAGAAAGTGTAAAGCTCCAATCAACTAATTAATTACAATCCACGAAAGAAATTTGATGCTCTTCCTGAATATAAGCCCATAAAGAAAGAGCCTGCAACACCATAATATAAGCTTCCTAATAAACATAACTAAACGCAACAAATANATCGGAAGCCTACAACGGATGGCAACTCCAATTGTCACCTAAAATCCTTTGTGAGTCTTGCATTGATTGGAATTATTGATTCACCAGCATGCTTCAGCGCTTGTCTTTGTTGCAACTCATCAAAGAATAAACTTTCCTCCTGCATAACAAAGGAAAGACAAATAATTAGATACTTCCTAAAATCCATAAACTAAATATCACTACTAAAAAACATGATAAGCTATATAAGAACTATCCTGTATGACACATGCTTCAACCCCTGCAAAAAAAAAAATTAACTTTAGGATCCCAGGAAGAGAACATGAAAACGGAAAAAGAGATTTTGCAAAAATCTTTAAGAAACTTCTCTGCCCTACTCAACCTGCGGCACAAATTAAAAGTTGAAAAATGAAATACAAGGGTATTTTTCCACAAATAAGAAAGTGTAAAGCTCCAATCAACTAATTAATTACAATCCACGAAAGAAATTTGATGCTATTCCTGAATATAAGCCCATAAAGAAAGAGCCTGCAACACCATAATATAAGCTTCCTAATAAACATAACTAAACGCAACAAATAATCAAAGGATCAAAAGTGACCAAACAGCTGAAGTACAGAGCATACTAGTTATATTTCAAGATGCAAGGTGCCATATGCAACAGAGCCTCAAAATAAGTCATGGGATATAGCATTCCTCGCTTCCTAGAATGAGTTATGTTATTGAAGAGCTAGAAGTCAATAAAGTAAAGTTGAATATAAAGTGCTCCTACATAAAGGCAGGACAATCCAGTCCGCCATTGAAGTACTCATCAAGTTCGATTTATCCATACTTGTCTTCAAAATAAGTAAAAATTCAAAGTGCAAAAAAGTTGAAAAGAAAGGGCAAGTAGCAGTTATAATATCTAGTTCATATCCATGACATCTCCAATTTGACTGCAAATGGGATTAACAGAAGTTATAATGTCTTTCTGCATATGTTGAAACTTGTATGAGCATATGCTGAAAACCAGTTTCCTGCAACAACTTCACATGGACGACTTGGCATGGAAAAACTTATCCAGATGGTGCCTCTTTCCCATGAAAATGTGAGTTTCCTCCATCTCGGTCCGGTAAGCGTGGGTACAAGTATAGCATTTCCTGAAAATCTATGCAATCCGATAAGTAATACCCAAAGAAGGAATTAAATAGATGATGCACTCTCGTAGGTAGAATGTTTAACTATATATTTACCTGGACCATGGAAGTGAACATGATTGCCGGACGAAGGTATAAAACTTTGTTGTGTGAATGCAAGACTTTGACTGTCGCCCTGCAAAAATTATTATTTAAGTCATTTGTTGTCCATATTAATCTAATAATATACATATATTTACCATTAGGAGTTGTGAATACGTGAACGGTGTAGTCATGCAATGTTGTGACTGTTGAGGTACTTGAACGATATGTGCGTCAACGCCAACATTACTTGGTCATGCCTTCGGCCGATTTCCTTTGGAGGCACAACAAGGTCTTTATATTAAGTAAACAACACATAAGCAATTGGTAATATTAGTGTATTAACCTTTGCTTTGTTTGAACTAGGCTCCAACGGGCTCTTCTTGCGAAGTTTCTTCGGTGCACCCTTTCTCTTCGCACACTTAGGATCAGATACTCCACTATTCATAGTTTCTTATGATGGCCCACATTGCGATGCTAGTGGTGTACTATGTGGAGACATGAGATTACTAACAACATTCGACTTCGTTGTCGTTACCATTTCACATTCATGTTCGATCCATTTTTGTATACTTGCAGCTCTGCTTTCATCATCTACGACCAAGTCCGCCAACTTAGCAAAAGACTGACACAGTTTGTCATACATTAACTGCCCCGGGGTACTAGTCAACCCATCGTAATGAACTGCGACCCTTGTGTGGGATCTACTTACATCTCGCCGCCATCTCCGTAGTACATACCTATCCGGTACGTGTTTGATGCCATTACGAATCAATACTGCAATCATGTGCCTGCATATTATTCCTCGAAATTCGAATAGGTGGCAACTGTAAACAATTTGGCAATCTTCTCGCTGAAAAGAGACGGAGAACATTTTTCTGTGCGATTGCTCATCGTTTATTTGTTCCTCGCATACCTCATATGTTGTCCCCGAACTTCCCTCCGAAGTCGAGATCAAGTCACAATAAAGCTTCCCGGTGAACTCTTCTTGAACTTCTCTAAACTTTGCAATGGTGTATACAGCTTGAAATTGCTTCTCCATTTTATACCTTGTCGCACATGGCACCATTTGTGAGAAGGACTTGAAATTAGCTTGAATCTCCTTCTCAACTTTATTCTTCAAAGCCCGTTCATATTGTTCGACACACTGCTTTAACGAAGTCTTTGAATGCACATAGCCATCAAAGAACGCGTTCATACTCTCACTGCGTTGAGTTGTGGACATTCCTGCCCAGAAGCTGGTTTTAAAATAACATGGAACCCATCGACATCTGTTATCGTACAGTCCGGACAATCATGCATTATCATGCAAATCATATGTACTAATCATTACCCTCCATCCATCTTCAAATTCTTCAACAAATTGTGAATCGTAAACCAAACCGTGTATAGCATGAAATATTGAACCCTTGTCCACGTGATATCCAAACTTCTCCGATAACTTTTTCAATATATGCCACAAACACCATCTATGTTTTGTATCGGGGAACACAATTGCAATTGCATTCTGCATTGCCTTGTCTTTATCAGTAATTATACCCTGGGGAGCTTTTCCATGCATACATTGCAGCCATGTCCTAAATAGCCAGACGAATGTATCTGTATCCTCATTCGAGACCAGCCCACATCCAAGCAGAGTAGATTGTCCGTGATGATTAATTCCAACAAAAGGAGCAAACGGCATGTCATACTTATTGGTGAGGTATGTGGTATCGAATGTGACGACATCACCAAATTCTTTATACGCATGCCTACTCCTATTATCTGCCCAAAACACATTCTTTAGCCTCGAATCTTCGTCCAGATCCATACTGAAGTAAAACCCGGCGCAACTGGCTTGCATTTTCGAAAAGTATGATTGTATTGTTGCAGCATCCCCTTCTCCAAGTCTCAGACGCCGAACTTGCTCAATATAGTTTCGACAATCCTTTTCCATGCACATCATATTTTCGTATCCACCTGCTTCGACTACTGCAGAGTTGAAACTTTTCTGTAATGGAATTCCTGCCATATCATTAACTTGTAGCCGCCGTTTAACATGAGCGCTCAACTCTCGATTACATCAATATAGTCTCGACTTGGATGGACTTGTTTTATGATTATGCTCCAAATTTACTATGTTTATTCTCCATATTCCGCGACTGTCCATAGATGCAGTCAACCTCGCCTTACAACCTGTCTGAATGGTTGGTTGCGGTTTCAAAGAACCAATTGTAGTACTACTTCTTTTTCCTTCACGACTACAAGTCAATGTCACATATCTCACAATACCATCGTCGTCCTTTTTGAAATTTCTTTTCCTGACTGGAAAGCCTTCGGCATAAGCAAATTTTTTGTAGTAGTCAAACAATTCATTTTCATCATTGAACTTCATTCCAACCTCGGGCACTCGCAAAGGCACATCATCTGTTGCTACAATTTCATCACCCAATATGTTCACTTTCTCCACGACATTCTCAGACTCAGATTCTACCAACACAATGTCATCCAAATTCTCCAACATATTTTTCCCTGCAACGTAAATGTAAAATCAGTTGCAATAATGATTTAAGCAACCTGTAACTTTCTCTCTAAAAATAATGTCAACCAACATTGGACCAAAAATTAATGGTTGCTAAATTGAATCAGTTCATACCCCACCAACACACAGGTTATAAAAGGACAAAATTATGCAACAAACTGCACGAGAAAATGCATTTATAGGGCCAAATTGCCGTTCATATTGTATAGATCTGGTAGATTTGTTGTAATCTCATATCATTTTTGTATATCACCTTCCTTTCAATTCCGATAAATAGATTTCAACTGGGGCTCCCTTCTACGTATAAATGGCGGATTCACTGGGGATGCTACAGGAGTAGCTTTTGATCTTTTGAACGGAGTGTTAAACTACCAACAAGAAGGAGCAGAGACGCTTTAAAAATGCATACGAAACGCCATTGCCAGAAAACTCATAAAATACGCCATTGCCAGAAAACTCATAAAATATGGGCAGATTCATTGATTGTCAAACTTTCATAAAATCTTTAACCTTTTGCTTTACAGTAAAATTAATTTTCACGACAAAAAATGACTATTAACACAAGTTTGTGATTAACTCAAGAATAAAAACCACCATTCTAGCCGACATTACAGAAATTTGAAAATCGGAAAATACCCATTACCTTTGTCTACCATTTTTGAATAACTGCTTCCAGTTTCTGTCTGAAATTTGTAGGCACTGCAAATGGTGAAATTTCGAGAAAATGGGAAGTATTTCGCTCGAAGAGGGTATGCTTATTCGCGCCTAAGAGTCGTCCTCCAGTTCGCGCCTTGTTCGAAGCTGAAGATTTCTTGTCTTGTTTAGTGGGTATAGGGTCGGGTAGGGAAAGATAAAGGCAGCCCAAATATTTGAACGAAAGGAATAGTTTTTAATTGTTTAGTGATTGCCAACTTGCCAACTTGTGTATATTTTAATCAACAATTCCACCTCCTTCTGTCAGGGACCATGTGAACTACCGTGTACAATAAGAATTATTCTTAAAATTCAGTGGTGCTACACGTACAGAACCAATCTTATAGGGGGGTGCACAGAATGACGTGGCAAGTGGGCCATTTAAAAAAAAAAACCATATTACAAGTAAAGGCAAAAGGAAAATGCAACCAGAAACGCATTATCACGGGAAGGAGAATTCTTCAGTTGGAACCTTAGAAATTGAAATCACGTGCAGGAGAATCTCCAGTTCAACTCCGTCCAATGCCACACTCATCTCGAGCTCCATCCAGTTTATGGTAGAATTTTTTATCCAAACCAAAACGACAGTAAATATATGATATATCCAAGAAAATGCTCATGATAATTTAAAAATCAATAGAGGAACCACTGTATTTGGTACTCACTTATAGTAATTGTCTGCAAACATTCTACATTAGGTTTGCTTGCCCAAAGAGGTTCAATGAAACTAAGTATGGTTCTATGAAACCAATTTCTTCCTGATTTTATTTACTGATAATAAAATAACAGATTTTATTTACCGCTTTTATTTTAACAAATTTTATTTGCCGATTTTGTTTTTGTCAATGGCGTGGAAAACAATGTATTTTGAATAGTAGATTGATGGAAATGTGTGGTAAAAAATTAAGAAAAGTTTTGAATTTGTGTGTAATATTATTTTATTGAAAAATGTAATTGAAAATGAATTTTGGAAAATTGAATGTTTAGAAGAATGGGGCTCAAACAAATAATTGTTACGTGTGTGAACGACAAGTTTGCCTGATTCCTTGAATAAATAATTTCTTGATTTTGATTTTAGATGAATTTAGAAGTTGGCACCAATTTGTTTGGTGTACTTCTATTTGGATCAATTTTATTCGAAGTTTTTACACTTGTACACTCTAGTTTAATTTGATAAATATACTTCAATTTGGTTCGATCGAGTAACTATACTTTAATTTGATTCCAATGAGGTAACTTCTTTTAATTTCGTCATATGAAAATTAATTAATGTCATAGCAAGAAATATTCGGAAATTTTTATCTATTTCATGTTAGTACCTAAGGGTATGTCATACATGCGATAATAATCATTATTACTTGTCTAGTCTGAAATTATTTTAAATGGAATTGGAAAAAGTAACCTTAATTAGTTACCGATTGACATTGATTTGTTTTTGAGTATTCAAAATTTATTAAGAAATGAAAAAGGGCAGTTGCATGGAAAAACACTCGAAATTCAAGAATTAATTTTTGTTTTTGGCCCGATTTATCTAAATTTTCTGATGTGAGAAGAAATTTGAAACAAGGCACAACAAATAAAAAATCCTCTATGCATTAAGGGTTTTTCGAAGGAAAAAAATAATAATAAAATATAACTCTTACAAATCGTCGTGCTTACTTGAAGTGGCAAATTAAGGTGTTACATAAACCGCGAACTTGTGTATCGTGGTACTTTAAATAACAAAATAATTTAGAGAGTTAATCTCATTTATCAAATCGCAACATCACAATATTCGAATGTCGTGTTTGGTCAATCGAATTAGACAATCCTAAATAGAACCTTTTTTTCCCCAAAAATAAAAAGCTAAAATAATATTCGATACTCGGACAATAATAGTAATCATTTATGATTGCCTTGTCCATGCTGTGCTGCTACTTCAATAGTGGCAGTGCTTCACCATTCTTTGCAGCTGATATTATGCAGGAATTTCCCCTACCAACTACAAAAATTATTTTTTTGTCAAAATTTTTTTCCTTCTCTCTCTTTTTTCAAGTCGTCATTACTTGCCAATTCATCTTTTTCAACAGCACTCGAAGAAGCAAAATTGTGATCCGGGTTACTCATACCTGCCTCCTCGTCAAAGTGCTTGCTTTGCTCAACCTCCTCGTCTCCAACCTCAGCAGGGTTTTCCTCCATTTTATCGCCCCTGTAATACGTACATCTCATAGCCCTTATCATATATTCTCATTGATAGTTGATAGTGCTCTTAATGAGGTAGGACTTCAACAATCTAAGATTAAGTAATACCTTAAGTGCATGTTTGGTATGCAGTTCTAAACGACTAGACAGTATAATAAATAAAATTTAAGCTTGGAGTGTTATCTAGTCCTATGTACGAAACATGCTTATACTTAGAATTGAACAGGAGTTGATCATACAACAGTCAAAATTTGACATCTCTTTCCTCCTTATAGTGGTCTAGTATTGTCGAATATACTTCACTAAACATGCAATAAGTAGGCTAAGCCTGCTAATTAATGGGGGTAGGGAAAGACAGGAAAAAAAATTGAGCAATGAAATATTACGTACACTGAGTAAACAATAAGCCCGGCAGTAACAACAGCAAAGGCTACAAAATACATCCAATCAACCTGGAAAGTGTGGACTTCGGATTAGTTAATCCAATCACGGCAAAACAAAAACTTTAAAGTTGAAAGTCAGAAGGTAATTGTAACCGAAATAATCTTGAACTCTGGGCTCTTACGAACCTTTTCATGGTATGCAAAGATACGAATTAAAACAGCCCACATATCAGAGGTCAGCAAAGACAAGTTAAGCATTGTAGACCCACTAATCTGTATCAGAAGGTTAAAAAGTTTATTACAGAAATGAAATGATCTAAATACACATGTAAAAACATGCACAAAAAAGTTAAAAACTACCTATCCTAAAACAATTATTCCAGCTAAATTTCTTATCATCATCCTCAAGCTAAATCAGCTTTATTTTCCATAGAAATTCTAGAATAAGTCCCTAAATGTTGGTTATACCTTCAAGTCTATTGTTGACCACTAAAGTCGACACTAGAGAAGTTTTAACGTCAACTGATATCCTTGCATAAGTTAAAAGGACAACAAAATCATAATCTAAAATGCAAATTAAAATATGAGGAAAGAGATAGCTACAAAATATAGCGTACATAGTGGAATAGATAATCAAATCTTCCATAAAGTTTAAACAATAATATCCTCCCAGAATAGGGACGTAGAAAAATCACAGCTTCAATGGGATCAAGCTACTGCCACCATATGGATGGGAGGGTGTTAGAAGGTACATCTGAGAACTGGGCCTCATGAATAGTCAAATATAATTAATAGGGTCAGAACTGATTGCTAACCTTGTTGGATTTGAGATTGCCCCACCCTAACTGTTAATCGAGCTCATTTACAATATTTACTGCTACTATATAATTTTTACAAATGCACGTGTACGCATAGTTTCTTCCTACTAAGAGGATATAAAAATATAAAAGAAAATAGTCTAAAACTTATTCCTATTTGATTTTCTATAGTTTACTTCCATGTGTTTTAAGTTCTTTGTACTTGTTCTATTGCAATATTGACAAAATTTCAAATAAAAATTTAAGAATTTTTATGAAATTTCAAATTGGAGTAATATATTTTTTTGCTAATAATATGTGGATGGCAGACTTCAAGTCTAAAGTTTCAGATATCAATAGTCGTGAATATGTATAGTCTTCTTCCAATATTCAATTGATCGTATGAAAAGGTGCCTTGATAGAACCTATACGAAGGAGCAAGCAACGGTAACTACTATACTTGACTTGCCCACAAAATTGACTATAGCCAGGAGTAGAGAATAGGGCTATTTCAGCACCCTGTTCTCCAAAAGCTTCATGTACGCGCTAAAATAAAAGGGTTCGATTCGAAAATATGATTAGAACTACGTATGGAACCTTATATGGCTGCAACGTAGGACGGTTAAGTGGGTTCAGTTCGGGAACTAGTTGTGGTGTTGAATAACCTTGCCATGCATAGTTGGGGAAAATGAACAGTCGTACCTTTAATAAGATCGGGACACCTGAGTAAAACAAAAACATGGCCACTGAAAATCCGACAAAAGGAAGCGCCTGAAACAAAAAATTAAAAAATAATGATCAACCAGGATATCATATTTTAGGTCTATTTTAGATATGATCATTTGCATATATGTACTTGAAAGCCAAGTTATTTAAAATTCCATACAAAATAAGTCAAACACAACACAATATTTCATTAATGTTTCTTCCCTTACTATCAATTGCTTTTACTATCAATTGCTTTATAGTCCTTCAACCTGTTCAGCTGATTTACCATTTTCTAACTCACAAATATCAAGAAAAGACGAAGGTAAAAGGACAGTTGTTTCAACCATTCTTGCTTCAGCAGACCTTTATGTAATTATCTTTTGCAATGAAAAAGATTTCAAATATATCCGAGGGAATCAGAGAAGAGAGCCTGTGCTTAATATATAATACAAAGTCCTAAGTTTGTTCAGTCAAACCAAGATCACAGCACCAAATCAAAAATGATTAAAGAAGAGGGAGGAATATGCACATTAATCATCCAAGATAAGAGAGGAATAGACATAAAAATGAACATAGCATGTAATTGCCAACGATATAGTCGCTTTAGATCTTCAATTAGACCCAGCAATGACACATATTGCAGAAAACGATTCATTTAGTCGACCCCAAATTCACAATGAAACAAATGAAAGAGCAGGATTCACGTAGCCGACCCCAAATTCATGGGGGAAAACCTTAATTTTTTGTTGTAATTCTTGTTGCACATGTATCATCCATGAGTCTTATCACTCTCCAATCAGGAAATTTGTAAGCTAAAGTGTACTTGTTAGGGAATGATACAAATTTTTAAGAAGTTAATCCAGTTAAACCTCAATCCGAGGACCAACTAGAAAGAGATTAAAGAAATATTATGACTAGATGTTTCTTTAAATACATGTTTACGACATCTATAAGTATGTACATGAATCCTCCAGAAAACTCATTACACTCCACATTCATCAGGAAAATTGTATCACTGAAGCTATTTAGACATCATATAGGTGGGCCAGGGGTGGGGGGGAGCACAAATACTTACCGCCCCAGCTGACCAGTGAATACTTTTAAGTTCACTGCGTTCGAGTATGCTTCTAAAGGCATGGTTAAAGAAGTCATTTGATCACAGAGACTTAAATACCGAGAAAAATTTAACGAATCAATATCTCATTAAGAAATGTTAACACATAGAGGTTATATAGCACTATAACAGAATATGCTTAAATTATAATGTGAATAAATTACACAATAGAAAATTATCATATCAACCAAGGATACATTTGGACAGCGCTGACAATGGCACCAAAAATGCCCAAGAATGACATGAGTTCAACTCTATCAGCACTTTTAACAAAAAATTCCTGCATAGATCAAAAAAAGAAGGATTAATGCTTCAATAGCAGAGTTGAAGGAAGAACCAGAAATTTCAATCTAGGAAAAACTTTGACATGATGGAAATATGCGAAAGTAACAAATGGAAAATTTTCTAACCAATAACTCTTACAAGAAAGTTCATCAAACTAAATTGGAATATAAAAAAATAAATCAGAATATACTTTCAACTTTTATGCCTCAGATAAAAGCGCATATTTGACATGCATTTGATGACATCTCCCTTGATAGGCCATGATGATTGAAGGGAAGCATTCAAATACTTCAAGAAAAAATAAAGGGATGGGTAGAAGTCAATAGCAAAAAGAAGGGAGCAAGGAAGGAAACATGCACGCGAAATGTATAAAAATGTATAAAGGTAAAATGGGGAGGAGAGTGTATGTAAAACACAATTAAGGTGCACTTACGCTTAAACAGGACATGTATAGAACAAAAAGAAAAATAGAAAAGGTAATGGCTAGAAAAAGAATAAAAGAAAGAAAGACAAGCAAGCAGAAGGATTAAAACAAATGTACGAGATTGAGAATGAGAAGAGGCGCAATAAACGTGTTTAGATACAAGGAAAGGTGGATAGAAACAATTACAATGTATAGAATCAATACCTACAAGGGAATGCAGGGAAAATTTGAAGGAAAAGAGGGGGATATAAAAAATGAGGCAAAAAAACAAGCCTGTGAAAAATAACAAAAAAGTACAAGAGTCGGCAGGAGGAGGGTCTGTGAGTGTATGGAGAGAGAGAGATAACAATGAGAGAACTGTAGAGGAACAAAAGTGAAAAACATGAGAGAAAATCGTGTCAATTACAAGGGAAAATATACATATGTATAGCAGTATAGATCCTTTACCAATTGAGAAGAGAAAATAAATACACTGTTAATTACAAACGGAAAATAACCATATCTATAAATACATAGGTTTAAATTAACAATTCAGAAGTAACAATATTCAAAAGCCTACCTCACCAACATTACTAACAGCATAAAGCGTGGCCCCAGCAATTACAAGTAAATCACCTTTAATAGGGTTGCTACCACCTATACCCACAACAACCATACCATCAGCAATCAAAAGGAGAGAATGAAAGAAAAGAAGAAAGAAAGATAAGAGGCATAAGCATACTTCATACTACAGTAAGACCTCTCCACAGTGATACTCCATACAGGAATAAATTCCATGCAATCATATTAAAAATAATAATAATAAATAAATAAATAAAATTGGCCCCACCTTGGGCAGTAATAAATAAGAATAATCTCCATATTGTAATAAGTAATAATTTTTCTAGATCCCGTCTTAGGAAATTGCCTACACATTGTAATAATTATAAGTATTTTGCAAAAAAAAATATGTCATGTTAAATAAAAGGTATAAGATGAAATAAAATATTTATATGAAGTTGTTAGGGACAAAAAATATGTTAAATTAGTTTAAAGGTTTAAGATGACTTTGCATATTTCTAATACTACATAGATACATGTATTAGTTTTAAATCTGTGTCTCTCTCTTTTATCAATGTCTATACCTTGAATTTCACATGCTCTTAATTAATTATTAATGTAGTTCATACTTTATCTCTAAAACACTTGCACTAAGGATAACTAAGTCAAAACAACACATCTATTAAGTTATAACCTCCTATAATAACAAAATTAGTTTGGTTCCAATATTATGAGTATAGAGAGGTTTTCCTGTGCAATGTAACCTTAGAGGAGATAGATGTCATTATAGCGATCTTTGATTCTAGGAGGCAATGGAATTGAGGAACGAAGAACGCATACTTCATTTAAAAAAAAAAATACACTTGTTTCCACTCTACCTTACTCGGTAAAGACAGAAAATTGATTTATTTGAAACTTACTATTATACTTCTCTAATCTTAATATGTTCATTTTGATTGTGATTAGTGAAGTCTCTTGTTTATCTATTTCCACTTCCAATTAGCTTGTTCCAATCAAACATGAGCAAATTAGAAAACTAAAGAGGACTCGTGTCAAATGCATATAATGAAACATCACCTTTTTTACATGAATAATTTCAACATATGCAAACATCATAACAGCAAACGAAACTACAATGGATAGAAACCAACAACGAAGAGACAGGTAAGGAAAATCCCTTCTCATCTTCTTCCAATTGTTTTTGGGTGGGGGTAGACAATTCTCCAACTGCATTTCTAGCATACTTGGATAAAGTCAAAGAAAATAATAAAACCATCTATATACAAATACTTACTTGCTCTATCTGCAGAATGTACATCTGAAAAGATAACAATCACAAGACCAGCAATGCAAATTACTACGCCAACCAACTTCTTGAATCTGTACTTTGTCTTCAAAAAGAACCAGGTGAATAATAGGACACATGGGATAGACCAACAATCCAGTAGCATGACGCTTGTAATGGATGTGTACTGGTATGCTTTCACCACTGTCAATTCAAAATATTAGACCACTCTCTTAGAAGAATGCACATTTGCAAATAGTAAAAATAATTGTTTTTTCCATCAATTTATTTCAAGTTCTTCTTCTTAATTGGCAATGAACTACCTTTTTCTTAGAAAATACCATAGGATAATGTTCTAAAAAAAAAACAAAGCTAGAAAATCTAGAAAATGTTAGTGTACAACTTACACTGTAATGTATCATTTCCAAGCCACTTATTTCAGACCATAAACCTTAAAGTCACTCAAAAACTTAATGAAGGCTCTCTAAAATAACTACAATTTTTCAGTACAGGTGAAGTGGTGAAGTTAAATAGGAAGAGGAAAATGAACACTATGGAGGGTGTTATATCTCTGGCTTAAAATGGAAAAAAGAAAAAAGTAACTGTCCAACAGTCAACAAATACCAAGAGGGTCCTGGTATACAAATTAAGCAGATAAGATGTTAAGTTCTTGCATGCAGAACATAAAATTATAGTATCTAGAAGCACTCGTGAAAAGAATATCAAGTTCAGTCATTTTTTCGTATTCTTACAGGATTATGGAGAAGAGGACAGAGAAAAATGTGAAAGAGATGTTCTGGCTTTTAAAACATTTAACATACACAAGTTTCTCAAAATCCCTTGTCCCAGAGAAAAAATGAAAAGCAGTTCATTTTTTTTCCAGTTCCTTTAGGTAGTAATGGGACACACCCTTCAGAACATTAGCTTCAGGTAATATGGCATCCATGTCTCCTAACTTCTCAAGATCCACAAAATTACTTGGCTATTGCTTAGGAATTTGTACTGAAACTGAAAAGAATGCATGAACAGATGGATGAAAAATAAGACACTTGTTCGTTTCTTTATATTATGTATTGTTACAAAATTTGATAAGCTCGAACAGGTCAAGGCAACTTACCAAGAAAATTAGCTTCAACATCGACCAATCCAAGCAGGACATAGTAATACCATTTTGCCTGCTTATGGAAGAAAGAAACAAAAGGAGAAAGTAAAACCATGAGAAATTCCTGCAATAACTAAGCAATTGAATATGTTGTGTCAATTCAAATAAAATTAAAGCACTAAAACGGAGTATGAAAGAAAAGATTGGTGATCCGCATACACTTAACCTCATCAAATGATGTAGGTCTTCAGCACATCATATGTGTGTTACAAACTACCAAAAATACATAATCATGATGTATTTAACAGTCAAAATTTGCAATATTCGTTTAATTTCTAAAGGTCCTCTCCTTTGTAGCTCAAGCCAGTTTTAGCCGTCCATTTATACAACTAACTTGGAAACCAGCACACAATCCCGTTAAAATCACTAGGGCAGCGATGATAACATATACCCAGGAGATGTTATTAAGTAACCATTATGGCCTGTCCCCTTAAAGCCCTGCACAACCTTCCCCCAGCCCCACCTCGTGCACTGATGACTACATGTACATGTCAAATTCATGGACTAAAATATTATAAAACGATTTCTTAAAATTCCAAACTAAGAGGTTGTTTGAGCCCTTTTTTTTTTTTTAAATGCATTTTGCAATAGTGTTATGATGTAGAATGTGTGGTTAAAAAATAAGGAAAGGTTTTGGGTTTGCGTGTAAAATTATTTTATAGAAGAATGTTTAATTGAAATGGAGTCAAATTACTGTTCAAGAATGCATTTTGATGGAAAAATGGGACCCAAAAAAGGACTAAATATATTTTTCAATTCTATTTTGCAAAAATAATTTTCATAAAGACAAACCAAACTCGTTTTCAACAATATTTAAACACCTTCAAAATAAAAAAAATGAAAATGAACATAAAATTAAAAATTGAAATGCAAACCAAACGGGCCCTAAATGTTTCCTACTAAATTGGATTCAAAGGGAAAACAAATCTTAAATTCTATGCTTTTCCATTTACAGAGAAATTGGTACTCACATATGCCTTAAATATATACATGTTCAAAAATTTAACTTGGTCTAGTTCTAGGAAAACCTACAAGTTCTTGAATCCTATTATCCTAATGTCAATGGAGCACTAGAACACGAGAAGTTATCTATTGATACATGATAAGTAAAAGATCATATCCAAAAGAAAAACCATAAGCAAATAGAATCAGTGAATGCCAAAATGTGCAAAAGCTGATCAGCTAACCTTGAGAGCTTTCCTTCTATAGAGCATAATGCCTCCATACACCAACGCCAATAATATATAATTCAGAAAGGACTGAGAAGTTGGTGCATTGATACCTAATATTGATCAAATAAATGAGCAAATTAAGTTAGAAATAGAATAAGCTTAAAAAATCATCTTTTTTCTTCAAATTGTAGAAAATTCTATATTTTATGCGTAACGACCCAACCTTTGTATACAAGCCGTTAACTTATGTATTGTCCCTTTTTGGAAGAGCCTGAGTCCATCTTATCCCTTACAACTTTTTGTCGAGTCCTCAAAGGTTTGAACCCAATTGGACCCACTAATATCGAGATTCAACTTAAGTCCCTCGTAGGGCAAATGTCTTGGGATTCAAATCCCAGGAAGGCGACAAAAAGCCATGAAAGGTAAGTGGCTCCGGCTCTTTTAAAGCCGACTGTATATAAGATAACGGTTTGAGCATAAAGATCGAATCTTTGCAAATTGGTAATAGAATTCAACTTAAGTCTCTCATAAGACACAGATCTTGGGTTCGAATTTTGGATGACGCGATAGAAAATCGTGAGGATCCCAAAACAGAGAGTGCATATAATATAACAACTTGGGCACAGGGCCCGGTCGTTACATTATGAAATTTCTAATTATTCGAAACAGTTTAAAACATACTAGATAGGAAAAATGATTATGAAAACTGTGTTCAAAATGTATAACAGGAGAGAAAGTATATGTTACAACTAGCAAATAATGAAACACACACAATGCAACCAAAATATGGTGCATATTTAAGCACTTCAGTTGCACCAAAAAGGGCTCTCAGCCCAGGCAAAAAAACAATTGTCAGAGGCACGCTCTGCAACTGAGCTAATACCAAGTCGTGCTAGCCTTACCACTATGCAAAAAAACTGAGAGAGACCCAATGAAATCCATTAGAAAAACAAAGTAATCAAAAGAAAACGGAATGATCATGGTAAAATAATAATAATAAGAACAATATCATTATCAATATCAATATCAATATTAAAGGGAAGAGGAAAAAGGAACCTTTTTTGGCAAGTTCAGAAGACAGAAGTCCAGTTGAAGTGATGAGAAGAGAAAGAAACTGTCCCAACCCAAGACCCACCACTGAATTCTTTGACAAACCCTCCTGGCAATTCATCATCTTCTTCCAATCTATATATGAATATCTATGCAGTCAGCGTACAATAATTATCATAAAATAGCTAAAAACCCCCGGAATTAAAAACAAATCAATAGCTGAAAAAACTCTCAAAAAGGACAATCAGCAACTCTTATTTTGGCAAAGTTCCAAAGCGTTGAAAAAGTACTCTTTTTTGTAAAAGAAATACCCCACAACCACCAATATTTATTAGTACAGAGTACAAAAACACATCCATGATCTATATATAGAATAACTGGAGATGAAATTTGCCTGTTGAGTGAGTGGAAGAAACCAACGGCTGTGAAAGATTTGCCCAGATGCCTATTGACTCATGAGAAGTTCAGAATTACACGGAATTTTTCTTGTGATAAAAATGTACTTCGCGTTATACAATGTCGATTCAATACGCAAGAAGTAATTACTGAGAAGGAGAAGTCTAATACTTGTTGATTTTATCAAAAAAGTTTGTAAATGGAATTATTTATTAATATTTAATTGTTAAAATATAATAGGTCAAACTTTATAGGATTCTAATTGGAGTTGTCACACTATTGGTCCGTCATCTACTTTTCGAACGGTGAGTTAGTCTGTGTATTGTCGTTTTAGTTCCAAACCTTACTGGATGAGATTTACGAAAAAGAAAAAAAAAAATCTTTTTAGGAGAGAACAATTTTGATTTTTTTTTATTTTTATTTTTATGCGAAGACATAAGATAAATGAAGTCTCCATATTTGTATCTTCTATTTTAACTGGATATAGCCCCTCTTTGAGCCCTATTTCAAAAGTAGATTTTGCAAAATGTATTGTAAAAATTAAAATTTTGCATTTTCGTGCAAAATTATTTGCTGAGAGTTGTAGTTGAAAATAAATTTGATAAAAACTGAGTCTTTAATAATGGGATTTTAGTGTTCTGAAATTTGAATTAATGTATATTTTCTAGGAATTTGAGGGGTGTTCGTTCATGGTATATTAGAAATGTGAAAATAGTTAGAATATCTTTAAAAGACTCTTTAAATACAAAATATTCTCTATTTCAGAGAGTCATTACTTAAAAATGAATTTCAAGTGACTCTCTATTTTAACTTTTTAAAATAGAAAGTGTGTTTGGCTCTCCAAAATTAGATAACTAAACTCACTCTCTATTCTTAATATACAATGATTGCATTTAATATATTACAATTTTCAATACTCTACAATTTAAAATTTTCAAATTACATTTGAATTGATTGGACATTAATATATAAAAAATTATACTTAAATAAAATATGTGAAGAAATTATTATAAATGTTCGTTGGAAAAAACAAAATAAAGAATCAAAATAGAGAGTTTGTTGGAGTGTAAAAAAAACCACTCTCTAAATTTAAAGATGCTCTCTATTATGCATAAGATGTTATTTATAAATAGAGAATTTTTTGGAGGTGCTCTTAGTATGTTAGGTTAGGAGCTCTGGATTTGAGTTGGAATTGCTTGCGAAGTGTTTATACATACTTTAAATTATAGATAGATGTGATTTTTTTTTATCTTTATCTATTAAAGGATTGATAATAATATATGTAATAACAATCACTACAAAAGTTCCACTTTTAATAATGAAAATTTTGTTGTAAAAGGTCAACGAGGAAGTTAGCAAAGCAAAAGTTTTCATTTCTAAAAGCAAATCTTTTTTGTAGATTGAATAATGTTATGCATCACTAATGTCACTGTCACCTAAACTGTTGTTATGCACCTGTGACGATATGCATAGCATTATTCGTTCGTTCAATAATCCATCTACCTTGTGCAATGGAATTTGTTTTTCCCAATTGTTATGCAATCACCTAAATGAGTTAAAATCAAGTCTCTAGTACACATGTATCTAGGCTTATCAAAAGATATTCAAAAATATTTATCAATCCACCAACCACTAAAAATGCTATGCATCACTACTGTTACTATTACCTAGATAGTTGCTAAGTGCCCGTGGTGATATGTATAGCATTATTCGTTTAATAATCTATCTACCTTGTGCAATAGAATATGGTTTTGACCTAATTGTTATGCAATCACTTAAATGGGTTAATTTTGAGTTTTCTAGGCACATGTAATCTAGACTTTTCAAAAAATATTCAAAATCGATCAATCTATCAACAAAAACCTAGAGTTGACTGGTTAAAATCGTCAAAATCGAGATATAGGGAGAAAAGAAATAGAAATCGTAACAAATATTTCACACCCATCTACTAAGAGATGCACCATATTGCATACGAGACGTATATTTCCTGTGTATTTACTATACCACTTTGCTTTTAGATAAATATGATAAAGAAATTGGGTTCTAGCCCCCCGGGGCATTTCAGTGGTGCAAAGGATAAGGGTGAGGTATACTCAGCCTTGTTAGTAACCGCAATGTGAGAGTTCGATTCTTGAAATATGGATTGAGATTTTTTGTGGGCACCAGCGTACAGACAACTCTTATTCCCTGGCCTGCTGGAGCACATCCCGCAATTAACCTCTCTCACGATGATCCAGTGACGGAGTGGTAGGGAACCCTTAAGATTGGGGTTCAACCTTTTAAGAAATTGGGTTCTATTAAAAGGGTTTTCATAATGTGACAGGACTGGGGATAGGCCTCTGTGATGGGGTGGGTGGCCCCCTGTCACAGTAGCACGGCTCCTTTTGTTTTATTTTTTTCCTTTTAAATATAAGTTGTATAGCCTTCAACTTGCTATTGCCTAAATTGTCCATCCAATATGAAGAATTGTAGAGTAAGATAACTACCAATTACTTTTATACACCCGTATCAGCTACTCATTTAAGTTGATAATTGCTCATCAATTTTTGATAAAATATACTCGATTTTTAATTTCAAAAAAAAACCATTATTAAATAACAAGAGGACACTCCCTAGTCCTTAATAATTTAATCAAGTGTATTCCCTCTTCCTTTAAATATTCTAACTTCCTCTTTCATTCAATAATATAGTTTAATATGTTCATTCTTCAAAAAAAATATCTCTAATTGGGACCATCATCAATACTTAAGGGGCCGCATAAGGTAGACAATTATTCTTTATTTCTTTTGGACAAATGCCGGCGTTCGGCTAAAAAACAATTTCGCAGAAGTAATCAACTTTATCCTTTATTCCATTTGACTTGTATAGTCAAAAAGCGATCAAGTAAAGTTGTTTGACAGACCATTTTGGCTAGTAAGCTATAACATAAGCAATTTTTTACTTTTTGGAAAATAAGGAAGATGATACATTTGTTAAGTTGTAGAGTTTAATTATTATCAAGTTGGTCATGATCGACCTCCGTGATGGGGTCACCATAGGATTGGAGGTGCAGGAGGCACCTCTCTTGGGGTCCGCTCTCGGATCAAAATTTCATTAAAGACTGTTTAAAAATTTATATTCTTGTAAAAATTTATTAAGGAATTAGAGTCCTTATAAAATTCGATATTGTCTTAATTTATCTTATAAATAAGGAACCGTCCTTCGGTTTTATTATTATCGTCAAAAAAGAAAATAGAGGTTAGAGAATATAGGAATATGATTTTCTCTTATAAACATTTTTTTATCATAGTGGATTATTGCAGCGGTAAAAGCGAAATTAGTCTCATGTTGAAGCAAAACTCTGTAAATCTTTCGTGTTCTTTAGTTTTTTTTTTTTTTTTAATTCGAATTGATTGCTCTCTATAAAATAAAATTATGTTTTATAATTCTCAAAGGCTTTTAAAATAACAAATATTTTACTAAAAGAAAAGAAAAGGCCAAGCATGTTTGGGAGAAAAATTACTTAGTCCTATTTGAGCTCCATTAAATATACAATTTATTCTTCTCCATCTTCTTGTCAACTACACATTCTCCAATAAAATAATATTATACGCAAATTCAAAAGTTTCCTTCTTTTTTAATCACACGTCGAAAAAAGTACTATTCTAAAATATATTTTCTCCACAATTCAATTATAATGGAGCTCAATGAGGTTTTGTTTTTTTACTTTCTCTTTAATAATTAATAAGGATTTTATTAAAGTTGTTAACATTTTAAAATATCTCGTGACTTTCAAGAGTTTGAAAGACTTTCACTGAAAAGAAAGAAAGAAAAATGCCTTCCAATCTATAATATTTTGCTTTCTTGGAAATTTCTTTCATCTGTCGTTCTATGAACCCTTGAGCCATAATATAAAAATCAACATTTTTCTCTCTTCAACATATTATTATTGTTATTGTTCTATTTCGAGTATTCTACGAAACATCTGTTTGTAAATGAAAATTCTTATACGATTTTTATCTCTACTTTTTCATTGTTCTTTCAAGTTTTCCATGGAATTTCAAGTTTTCTATGTAAGAAGATCGTCTTTCAATAGAAATTTTATAAAACAATAGATTAATTTTTAATTTAATTTTGAAGCCATGAATGCTTCGTGTGTCGAAGACTAGGAAGACGAATAATCCCTCTTAGAATTATGCTATGCTGAGGAGTTCAAAAGGTACTCGAGCCTACCTCTCTTTAGTGAAATGAACAAAAACAAAAAATAGAATAATAGAAGAAAGATTGTAGGTAGGCTGGTTGTTCTATCAGCCTGGGAGATTTTCCACTGAATATTGAGGATGAGAGGGCGAGAGTGATACCCCGAGGAACAACCCGCCCATACAGTCAGCGGGGAGGATGGCGCTACTGGTGACATGGTTGCTAGCAAAAAAAAAAAAAAACTGAGGATGGAGGAAGTTTTGATGGCCGATAGGCAGAGCAATAGTCGTGGAGGACGACAATTGAAATTATTGTACGGACGTTGAGATAGTATCGAATAATCTCAGTTGGGATGGTCCTCCAAAATTTTCC